TTACGATGATATACGCGTGCAAGGGGTGTTATTTGGATTTCATTACGTCCCGCTCGGGATACTCCTCGTGAGCACTCGCCTCGTCCGATGTGGGAGCTCCTAAGAATTTCAAATAGCCAGCCAGGGGGGAAATATTGGGTCAGCTATCGTCGCGCGCGCGATCTCTCAAATGATCTTTCGTTCGTGAATCGCTGAACAGGCTTGTAAATATAGGCAGGGAGAGACACTGCGAATCCACCTCTGTCACTATCGCCTCTGTGTGTGTTTCTGTCGATGAATTTGGCTGAAAAGTTGTGTCGCCCCTTGATTTAGCTGTTTCCGATACGTTGGTTTAATTTCTATTACATTTCAACTATATTTCATGGCTGAAAGTCCTACGTTTATTATATTACCTGTGATCGTTAACAATTGCCAAACTAAAAGTTGAAACGTGTGATTAGCCAATAACCGTCAGTTATTGTACAGTGAAATGTGAAACTTTTTAATCCATATATGCTGAAATATTAGTAATATACAGAGTTTGTGCTTTCACTACGGGCAAAATTGCTAATATTTATTGCTAATAAAAATATAAAGATATTCGCTTTAAACAAATGTAAAAAATAATTGATGACAGTTATAATAAAAGAAACAGTAGTTTCTTGGCCGTCGCATCTGAAACGTGTTAAGAATATTCGTTTCAACTGATTGGGTGCTTTTAACCGAAAGCACGACACGCGAAATTACAAAAAGTGGGAATTGTATAATAACTGGTAGCGCGGATACCATTCGAGGAAAGAGCGAAAACGACAATCGCGATCGAGTCGATTTGATTTGATTTCATGCCGAAATGGAATCGTGCTAATTTCATCCCCACACTCTCGGTCGCGCGTACAATGGACGAAAGTTGCGAACCAGGCTGATCGCGTGTCGGTAGATTAATTTTCATAACTGTGATCATTGGATGAGTTTTGGACCACAATTCGAGCCACAACCCGGCCGAGATATTATTTATTATCTGGGTCGATTAATTGGACAGAAGTCGTTCGACGTATTTTCGTATGAGAAGAGCAGTAATTATACTGTCGAAGAGTGACGTCGAAAAATTCGTGTCATTTTATTTTTCACGTTTTATATCGGATTGGGTTGGAAAGTTCGTGGAATTTTTTAACAGTTTTTTACCTACTTTGCTTATAGATAAATTCATATCCCATTACAGTCGGTATTTATTAGAGACTTGGAGAAAAGTGTTCTGTAATATACTTTTGCGAAATAGTGCCCGACAAACTTTTCTTTCAGTTGAACGACAAATACGTTAATTAAGGAGAGAACTCTGGCACTGGCAATAGAAAGAGAGTTGTTCTCCAAACAAGAAAGGGAGAAAGACTTTATCATTTCAGTGGTAAAAAGTTCATCCATGTTTTATTCATATTCTGATCTTTTCAATAACAATAATTTACTGGTTATATTGATTCTGATATTTATACACAACAATTTCAAGTTTTTCTGAAAATTTTGCTACAAATTCGCTATGCTATAAATGTAAAGTATGTTGTATGTTTTTAAGCCAATATCTGGCATAAAGTTACGCGGGGGTAAATAATTTGCAAACTCGTAAACTATTCTTCGAGCCAGCAGTCGCAGCTCGATGGAAAACTCCAATAATCTGATTCGGAGTTCAAGTTCGAACGCTGCGTTCTAAATAATCGGCATTCTAAATAAAGTATTTCGGAAAATTGAATTTAAACGACTCCGTTCTGAATAACGCAGGCAGAAACGTAATTCGTAATGCATGCTTCCACAGATAGTACAGATATCGAGGTCTCGCAGTTTGGAGCGCGACCCGGATATCCGTTTTACTACCGCGAGCAGCCCACTTTCCATTCAAAAATCGAATCTTCGTATTATCTAGACATTTCACTCGCCTAAAAATGTTACTTTCGAATTTCTGCCTCTCAGAAACTCATTTCGCGCTCAAACTGTCTCTTGAAATATTCTCCGACGAAGGAAAACTCGCGAACTCGCTTCTGACATCAATCTATCTACAATCATCATCGTCTATATCAATGCAATAAATTGTAAATCATAAATGATAAATTCACCGTTAATAAAGGAAAAGATGAAATTTCTGATACGACGACCGAAAGATACGCTGCAAAACGGAGAAAAGGAAGGACACTTCGAAGTCGATCAAAAATTCGCGGCGTTTCGCGGGGAGAACGGCAAGGGGAGAAAGTTCAACGACGCCTGGCCGTCCCTTAACTTTTCCAGCCATCCAGCGGATTCGGTCGGTTCGCTTACCGAGCGTACGACGATTCTAAAAGGCAGGCCATCGCTATGACCCTCTCGACGCCATTGGGGTTTACGGTTACGGTTAAGTACAGAGCAAAGAGATCGTATCGTTTTCCGAACGATTTGGCTAATCGAGTGGCGCGGCGATGGGGGAGAGGGCACCGCGGCTACGCGCATCCGGCAGAACATCCATTCGCTGCCGACTTCCGGCTACGGGAATTTAAACGAGGCTCGAGGCTTAGAGAGGAACCGCCAAGAACCCGGAACACGCGGTCCATTTTCTTCCCATAACGGCCGCGATCCCTTTTAATTTGTCACGTTGTCGAGGGTTAATTGCTAATTTCAAATCGTAGGGGATGCACCGACAGTGACGTTTATCAATTAATTAATAGAATTAATCATTTTCCACCGTGTCTGATTCGAATGTCTCTTTCAATTGTTTCTCCCTCGTTCTCCATTTTGTTCATTTTTAATTTTCTCGCGCGCGCGAATCTGAAACGATAGAAAGAGGAAGAGGATAGAGATGAAAGAGTCAGCTTGTGGAGATCGTTCTCTCTCTCTCTTTTTTTCTTTTTTTTTTTTTTTTTTTCTTTATGNTTTTTTTTCTTTCCAAGGAGCGAAGAAGCGAAGAATTAATTATTGGTACGGGTGAAGGTTGTTTCTGCTTTCGCGGTCGGGGGAAATTCGTTTTATGGGCGAAAGAAGGAAAAAAGAGTTAACGGGCACCGACCGCTAGAAATTAGCTGCGAAAATTAACGCCGAGTTCCTCCGGCTGGCCGGAGGTGAAGGGGTGAAAATTTTTTGAGGAAGGGGGGCCAAGAATTACCTGAGAGGTGGAACGCGCTCGTAGAAAGTAACGATCGCTCGAAATTAACCTTAAAACCAACGTTCGGCCCTGCTATTTTCAGAAAGCCACGCTGGATTTTAATATCGTTCGCTGGCCAAACGAATTCGAACGTAAATTACTTTTCCCTCTCCTTTTTTTTTTTTTTTTTTTTTAATCCAAGGGCTGGAATCGCGACAGATGATAAATATCGAGAGAAACAAGAGAAATATGTCTTTCTTATTCATCAGAAATCGAATGTAACAAAGTAATGTAATAAAGGAAGAAAAATTAATCCAACTTTTGGTGTTGAAAGTATCCATTTTGTTGGATACTTTCACTTGTTACTAATTCGAAAGTTCATTTTCATATCACTTGCGCTCAATTATTACGGAATTGTTTGCACGATTTTGTTATACTTTCTCCAACCACAATTAACATTGTCGGCTTTTTACCCAGCCGAACTCGCCGGATATCGATGAAATTCTAATCGACAACCGGGTAATTCGATCGCTCGTGTACCGTGAAACGCATTTTGCAGCCAGAAAATCCCAAAGCCGCGATTGTTCGGTCGAGACTTGGGAGCAGTCCGAGGTCGAGTTTACTGGCGTTTACCCAACTAGTAGCCGCATTTCGTAGTGATCGGTCGCTATAATAAGTGGAAACTGCGGAACAGGGCAGCGTGTGGCGATTGCTTCCAATCGAGTGGCTAATCATCGGAAACCAATGTAGAGACGACCGTCTATATACGTTTACTGTATAAGCTACGATATAAAACGACGAGAAAAGCAAGGGCGAGGAGGAGGAGAGAAGCGGATGCACATTTTTCGTGACTGGTGTTTCAAATTCGAGTGCAATCTCTCTCTCTCTCTCTCTCTTCTGTTCGTCCATTCTCCCGAGAAGACGATAACCCCAGCCGCTCAAGTTTCGACGTTCAAAACGCAATTACCGCGAACGTACCTCTCGACGATCGACGTGAAAAACGAATCGTCGATCACGAGCGACGGATTCCTCGACGAAACACGCGTCGGAGAAAAAGCGACGTGACAAAAGAGTTTGCGGCGCAATTAATGTAACGGGAAATTGAATTTCCTTTTCGCGTGAAAATGGCGAATAGAGACAGGCTAGAGGATAGGAAGGAGGGGATTCGGTCGCGAGATGAAGCGTATCGCGGAAGAATATCCGAAGTTTATGAGACGAATACGAGGCAGGATATACAAGCGATGTGTCTGCTTTATAGCACGTTCCTCGGTTCGTCGTCTGGCAGTTTCTTCTCTTAAGCCAGCGAACGAGCGGGCTCCGATGTTCCCGCTGAATGTTCCGCTCGATACACTCGACGATACACAAGCCGCCGCGATATCATCCTCCCCGATTCGCGGCTGGTGTTTCGCTGGTGCTCGGAATAAAATTCTGTCCGCGCCCACTGTTCCAATATTATGCGGCAGATATTTCAAACGAACCGGTGGCTTCCACAATGGGTTAGGCGAGGAGGATCGTGGATAGGAGCCGGGGCCTCGTCGTCGAATTTATTATTCAACCGTCTGATGAAACGGCAATAATGTCGGCCCGGTGGTATTTAATTTTCGTGGCTGTTGAATCATGGCGTGGGACTACATCGAAATATATATATATATATATATATCGTTATGGACCCATAAAAATGTGGGACAAGGGGGAGAGAAAGAAAGGCGAGAGATGACAGAGAAGGAGGAACGAAGGAAGGGATGAGGGACGAGAAGAAAGGAAACGGAAGCGCAGTTAGAATCGGGTGAGGCGAACGAATTTTAAACGTAAGAGGCCTACGGCTTCTATATTCCTCCGTGACGATCGTGAACGGTCGACCTAGAATGGGCCGCGCGACAGAGAGGCTCGTTTATTTCCTGACAGTCATTTCCTCTTCTTTCAGGAGGGGATCGGCTCCCTGAAGGTGGTGCCCGGAGGGATCGAGCTCAGAGGTCAGGCCGCTGTGCTGGATGCCCTGGTGGCCTCCAGCCTCAGATCCAGACGAGGAAAGAATCTGGTGCTCGAGTCGTGGAGCAACTTCACGGCGTCCGCCAGGTCGCACGATGGCCGATTGCTCGCCCGATTCACCGTCGGTAAGGACACGTGGCAAACTTCTAGTTATGGCCGTTGAACAGATTTCGTTCAACGTTCCGTTCGTTCCGAACATTCGCGTAGATTTGTAGATTTTTCGTTCGATTTCATTCTCGATATCTCTGGATATTTTCAATTCGTCAACGGGGGCCGGATTCGTTTTCCCGATCACCGATTCGAACGAGTGCTTTTTAGTTGTAAATCAAACGAGATATCGAGTTAATGTTTCGATCCGCCGGCGCAACGAACTTTGGGTAACGATGTTCGATTTTCATTGTGTTTCAACGTAATCGAGCGTTGTTGGTGGATCGAGAGAGGTCGGCCGGAGAGAAAACGAGTCAATTTAAAATTGTGGTCGGAGTTAATTTGAATCGCGGAATGTTTGAAAACGGAAGTGTAATTCGCTGTCGGTATTTAATCGAAATGTTAAAAGTGCAGATCGCGAAATTAAAGGTATTCCCCTCCCGCTCCCGCACCGCGGAAGTTTAAAATCGTTAAAAAATAGAGGAGCTTGGAAAATAAAAAGAAGAAAAAGGAAAAAAGAATAAAAGAAAGGAATTACATCTGTTTCCGAAGGATTTGCAGGATCGCGCGGTAATTGTCTCCGAAATCCTGCGCTCCGTTTCAAGATGAACGAACGTTTCCTTCCATTGTATTTCGTTCTCCCTTCCGCAAAGTATTTTCTTTTTTTTTTTCTTTCTTTCTTTTTAATGCCACCGGATATTTTTGTCTTGCGTCCTCCCGGAGAAACAAAGGGAGGATCGGATATCGATAACGTAGAACGGGGTGTGTCGGGAGTGAGATGTGCGTTGGTTAATGGACACCGGCGTTCCAGTCACACCGATTTTTACAGCTATGAAACTAAATCGCATGACAATCGTCGCGTCGAAGGCGCACCGTGTCGCGCGCTGTATTTAAAATCGGTATTTCAAACCGGTGTCGCCGGCGTATAACAATCGTCGGTTTATCAAGGATCGCTTAATACTCTCCGAGGGAGTGCAACCGGCGAGATACGTTTTTTAACCTAACTCTGCGCGACTCGATTACGCATTCCCTTCTCTAAATATTTAAATATTTAAATAAACACGTCGCCTGCTTGTATTTATAGCAGCGGATTAATAACCTCTCGTTCTTCGTTGCACGGCTGCGATTTAAACTCCGCGCGTTGATTCAGAGCACGTACGTATTAATACGTAAACGTAGGTTTCGTCTCGAATTACCAACAGTTCACCGCGGCAACCTTAAACTCCATTATCTCCTCGAACGTTCAGGAAAAACGCGATTCCCGATCCCGATTTCGATTTTTAACGAGCTCGTTGTGCTACTACTCCCACTCATTCGCACTTTTGCCTCCCGTTTTACTTCCATTGTGAAACGGCAAATGGCAGATGACTGTCTTTTGTCCACTTTACAGGCGAGGATCGCGTGGACTGCGTGTCGAGAGGCTTCCGGATAACCGACCAACGAGGTGGAATTCTCTTCTCGGCGGATAAGGAACAGGTGGTGGTGGGAGCGGAGATGTTAAGGGTAACTGGCGATGGGGGTGCTGTTTTCCAGGGCAGCGTTCAAACGCCTCTGGTTAGAGGGGAATCTGGCCGTGGTCTCAGGTAATCATAAAACGGGATAAGTAAATGTACATCTCGCTTCTTTAACACGGCTGTTTCATGAAATATTTACAAACTTTTTATTTTCCCCCTTCGTTTATTCTGTTTGCTTAATTTAATTTTTGTCAAAATGAAATTTTCATGCGTTCAGGTAGTAAAACGGTCAGGATTTTTCAGGAGAAAATAGCGGATAAGAAAATAGTCGTATTGCTGCCTTGTGTAGCGACCTCTACTTTGAAGTATTTAGATCAACGATATCTATGTTCATTAAATCGTTTCGTCGAGATGTGTATTTAATATAAACAATAGAATATTTAAAAACTGCTAGTAATTTTATTATCACCATGGAAATGTTTACAGACACTTATTATATATTGTAACCATAGTAGAAATTCTTCATTCGCGTTATTTAACTTTCATTAATCTTCGTTAAATTATTAGTAATCATATATTTTGTTATATTGATAATATTTTTTTATATAAACTACTACAATTAATTACGAAGTTATTATTTATTTGTAGTATTGTGATATAAACATAAATTATCATAATCACTACACTTGTATTTATAGTAACGTCATCTCTTGAAATGAGAGTTGAACAATTTGATATATACATATATACAGAATCAATATATTATGAAAATACGTGACGTTCTGTTTTAAACGTTCCAAATTGCCAATTCAACGAAATCGCGATCTAGGTCATAAAGCCATCGCGGTACTTTTTTGACAGCAACTATTTTTATTGGAAATTTCATCCTCGAGACCCGCAAAGGAAAACGTGAAACGTAATAATTTACAACGAGAATTGAGATGAATTTTGTCAATATCGACCGAATTAATTATAATTGGAATATTAAAATAAATGGCCACGATCGATTTCTCGCGAATAGTCGCTGCCTTTGTCCCATATTTATTTCGAGGACATCTAAAAAGTGGTGCTGCGACCCAGTTGAACGAAAACTCGGCGTAACATTTTCGGCCGGCTTTCTCCATCTGTCCGATAATCATTCTGGATACTCGAACCTGGATACAAATAGCGTTTCGATATTCCAATCAACTTTCCTTGTAGCCCCACTGACCGGCTATAAATAATGGAACTGAATCGCAGCGCGACGGACACTCACGTGGGATTAAACTTCGTAGTAACACGTTAAATATATGGCGTCGGTCAAGCGGGAGGGCACCGATTCTGTCTGAAATCGTTTAATTGATGGGGAGATTCGTCGACAAAAGCATCGGTACTCTATTCTCGTTGAGAATCGTATCGTATCCGCGTGCAATTCGATCAAACTTGTTGCTGTCGTTCAGCCGAAACCGGTAATAATTATATCCACGAAGGCAGAACGATTGTCTCGATCGTTCGTTTACTTTGCATCCGTCGAAATTTTCGTTCGTTCGTGTAAAAAGCAAATTAAACCGTTTGATGCAATTCTTTGTAATTCTCGAAAGCTACCGTTGAAAGAAATCAGATTAAGGTGCCGGTCGAATTTCACCTCGAGATACATCTCGTATTATTATCAAGAGCGGTAACGCTCAGACAAACCCAATAAAGCGTTCGTATTATCACGCGATATTAAATGAAAAATTGAGACGTTGCTATCCGCGTTTTATCGGCTGTACACTTAATTAATGTTATTACGCGAGGATGTTATTAAAACAAGATCAGGGGGATTACTATTACTTGGATAAGAAAAGGAAAATTCAAAGGGGAAAAGATATTGTGTAAGAGGGCCTCGATCTTCTTACTAGGACAACGTCTTCAACAATGCGGCTCGGAAACTACAGAGATGTGTGTTTCAAAGAAACTTTCCTACATTCTTCCCTTTCATACATTCGAGACGCGGAGTATCCGTTCCAAAACCGTGTTCTTTTCTATTCCATCCGTTTGGAGTCACCGAATGGCGCTTAATCAGCATGATGACGTCCTCGAAATAGCCACATCGATTTCTCGATTCGTCGAGCCAGTTGACGAGCCGAAACCGTCCGTCAGTTAGACGATGTTTCGTCGTAAATGCTGATAGCAGAGGAAGATGGAGCATTATGAAGAACGAGGGAATCGCGATGATTCGAAGCGGATTGTGCGGTGGTGCGTTGTACCGCGGTTTATTGATAGTGTCGGGCAATTTACAGACGGATTTACGATTACAATAAAACTTTGCTCGCGCGGAAAATTATATTCATAGGATTGGATTTATGCCAGATATGAAATACCGAGGACTCGAACGAGCGGGACGCCTCGGCTGCAAGCAATAGGTCGTCGAGAGACCTATTGCAAGAGGGTGCAAGGGAGGGGGCGGTATTGGAAGAAAGGCACAACGGAAGATACTGCTTTACCACTTCTTAGAAAGGAGGGATCGATTATTGCGAGTCTGACGTTGCAGTCGACCAGCTGCCATATTATTTCGCCGCGCGATTTCTTCGCCCCCCCGCGAGGAACTCTCTGTTACTTTTCTCTGTATTATAATTCCCTTCCCTCGTGTTTAATTGTCCGGAATATCGATTTGCCAAAATGAAACCGTCAGTCGCGGTGAATTCGTTCAAAACAAAACGTTACATTTCAATTAATGAAATTTTCGTGTAAAACGAGCATCATCCTTTTCATTCAGGACTTGTCAGAATGTGTTCTGTTAATTTTGGAATTCTACAGTTCTTGGAACTGTTGCTCAAATTTTCAATTTATACCCCGAACTTTCGTTGCACTTCCGAATAATTTAAGTTCAATGTTCGTTATGCTAAGTTATCAATTAACGTAATTACGAAATATCGACTGGAATTTTACACAAGTGAATATCGTCTGCCGACAGGCTGGAGTCAGCGACCAGGTCCCTGAAGATCAGCGCTCCCCAACGAGTGGTAATCGAATCCTGGGCGAACGAGATCTCGGCATCGTGCCTGACAGACCTGAAGCTTCAAAGCGTGCACGGCGCAATCAAATTGGACGCGAAGACTCTCTTCATGAAAGGCTTGAAGACAGCCAGTCCTAGTCAAGGCCACTCGTCGAGAGAACAGCAGCAGCAACAGCAACAGCAGCAGCAGCAGCAGCAGCAGCAGCATTCCTCCAGAACGTCGTCTCACCAGAGTCAGAGAGACACGACCATCTATCAGTTATGTGCCTGTGCTAACGGGAAACTGTTTCTGGCCAGGTCCGAAGGAACCTGTCAAGCGGACAAATCGATTTGCTAATACTAAGACGATCGAGCCAGATCGCGGATCGATCGTTCGAATGAATCCTCGTGTAGAAGGATCCTCGGAACGATGAAGACATCAACATGGTTTTACATCGGGTTGAAGCGCGGCATAAACAGATCGACGAGGCTAAGCTGAACTGCGGCAGACTATGGCGATGGAAATTTCTGTCGCGTGGAAGTAGAAACGAGGTTGAGCGACGTATGCTAGTCGAAGTCCCGGAGATCGCCCGAGGCCTTTCGCTTTTCGCAGGTGTTCCCGTTCTAAAGCGACGCGTGGACGCTGGTTCCCACCGCGTTGTCTCGTCGTCGTGAACGACGAGAAAGGTGGGGGAAAAAAGATGGACGCTATTAGAGAACCGCGTTTCGTTGGTAATTCCAGGGAATAGAATCCCTCCGATCAGGTGGATCGACAAACGACGAAGCTACTACAAAGTGAATGTATATCTTGTATATTAACGAAAGTGATTATCGGTAGTCAGCGGCTGGTAATCGAAATCGTCATCTCGTCTGTCCCCTCCCCCCTGCCCTGTCGTTAGATCGAGTCGTTTCCCTTGCTCCGATTCTCTCCTGTTGGTTTCTTTGCGCAAAAAGAATCGTTCGCGTGGCCAGTCGATAGGCAACGATTTGCAGTTCCTTTGAGCCTGAACGAACGAAACTTCAGAAAGAAGAGGATGAGAGAGAGAGAGAGAGAGAGAGAGAGAAAATGTATTTGAGAAAGAGAGAGATGTACCTTGCCGTGTTAAAACTATAGTTTCTAGCGTGCAAAAGATCTGTGTGTGTTTTCGCTCGGTTCCGGATTAGAGTGACGCGTCGCGATTAGAGGAACCTTTATTTTGGAGCGTGTTTTGCGGTTAAAGGGAGACGCAAGTGTAGTTCACTGTAAAAGGATCCGGTTGTGTGATCCAGCTTGCACGCTGTACATCGGCCATGTCCATCTATTTATGTATGTGGCAATAAAGTCGTTATTGTTACTATTATTACTAAACATCGCAAAACATTTTTCAACACCCTGATCCATTTGGATCTGAGGATCCAGAAGAGGCGCTTCATCGTTTGTGGCAACAGGTACGTAGAATTTTATCTTTCCCTCGAAACGTCAATATTTCTTTCTAATTTTTTTTTCTCTCTTGCTTAAAAACAACGTACCAGAAGAATTAATTTATCGTCTTGCAAAAAAATATCTCCGACATCATTTCTGACGAAGATCAATCCCAGAATCCCAGAATCTCACCTCCCCTTTGAAATGTGCGATCTTTCATGTTCAACTGTAACTATCGTCCAGGCTAAAAGTGAGTACAGACACTCAGAATCTTTCCTTTTAATATCTAGATCGATACTTGAAAACAACGAAGCGCAACGGTTCACATTATTGTACAAAGAATCTTAGAATATTGTTTCCAAAATGTACGATCCTCTGAATCGTATCACCGATCGTCTCTAAAACTCTAAAAATGCGTCTCGTATTTTTCATAAAATCTTGCCCCACGAAATCTAGATTCTAATCTAATTCCCAAAGAATCAGTTTATCATCGGCCAAAAACAAATTCCTGCGCTTCCGTCCAATAAAGAAATACCTGGGCTAATTGATATCGCCTGGAAAGAATCCCTTTCCTTTGGCAAGGAGGAAAGCTTCCTTCGACGTTCCATCCGGAGACTGATGTTTTTAATATCGACGGGAGAGACGAACGGAGGAAAAGACCAGTTTCTATAGATTTCCGTTGCGGGGGCGCACGCAGGGAGAGAGAAAGAGAGAGAGAGCGACGCGCAGCCGCGAGCCGACGCGCCGCGCCGGCACGATAAACGATAACGGAGAGCGAAATTAGGCGAAACGAAAATAGTTTCAAGAAAAGCCGATCTCGCTACATAATATAGTATATGTCAAGCGGGCTGACAGGTAGCAGGGGCAATCTCACCTAGTAGCCTCTTAAACGGCTCTGACGGCAAGGTAATTTTCTCGGAATTCGAGATTAAAATTGCATCCAGGCTAGAAGGGAACAAAGTACAGGCGGCCCGACCACTCTTGCCCAGACCTCGCCGAGCCGAGGGGGGTAAAGATGGCGAGAGATGCCGTAAGAAGGGATGGAGCAATCTAACAAGCGGTGGGTAAGATGGTGGAGAAAGAGTGAGAGTGAGAGAGAGGGAGAGAGAGCATGAACCCATGTGAATTAGCAGCAGCCGAGTAAAAAAAAAAAAAAGAAATACTCGCCCGGATGAAAAATGCCTCTTGGATCCCTTTGTATTACCCTAAGTCGAGGAGGATCTGGGAACACTGAGGGGAACGAAGTGAGAATGCACGGAGACCGCCGTCGGTAAATTTCCCCTGCCCGACCTCGTCGCGGTTTCGCACCACCCTCTAGAAAATTTTAGATACATCGATACACGCGAGATCCTTCTATTCCCGGTGGAATTTGATTCCCGTAACGAGCAGATGACTGGAGATGTTGCAAAAATATACAGAACGCGAAAGTGTGTTTCAACTTGCGCTGTCAACTGGTTCGCGGACCATAACGAGTGACCGAACCGTGTACAATAATTCGTCGCTTTCTTTTTCTTTTGTAATCTCGTCGATGTGATATCATTGGATAGAAACGATTAAGAATTAATAAACTTATCACTTGTTTCGCCTGGGTTGCATTTAAATATACTTGAAACTGAGAAAATGTTGCAATTGGGACAAAAAATTCTCGACGCGCGTCATTCCAGCGCAAGAGGTTAAAAACACTTTCGCGCGAAAGATAATGGTAAAAATAAAGATACGCAGTCTACTTGCAAGAGTAATGATACGGAACGTTTCGAGATCATTTTTAAAGAAACGGACTGGATCGTTGGATCTTTTCTGACATCACTGAGAGATATAAGGTTACATGCCATGAGTGACTATGGGTACATATTCCATTTAGAAATTGCAAACACTTCTCTGTATTACACTGTCTGTACTGTTATATCAACGTGTTTGTTATTAAAAGAAAGGTTCATTTAATCGCTTCGTTAATTGGAAATCGTGGCAGGCTAGTTCGTGAACACCGTACGGGGATAGCACGTGTCCTTTTGGAACAGAATTCCAATGTGCAACGTGAGCATTGTAGCCGGCTTCATTAGAGGTCTAACGAGGCATCGATGGTGTGTAGCCGATGTAGTTGGTCATCGATAAATAGATGATAATGACTTTACGCGGATGATAATCGCAACGTGTACAGCATCGATGGTGCGACAACACTATTAACTCCGATATTAGCAAACGCATAGATAGATGTCAATTCTAGACATCACCGACGTAAGATAAATCTCCATTTTCCAACTTCAAATCTCTAATCGCCGTTGAAAGCCCAATGCACTGTTAAAAAACTGAAGGTTAAAGTATCGCAAGGAGCTAGGTGTTTCGTCGTTTCGGTCGTTGAAAAATTTCCCAGTAACCTCTTCCCCTCTTCTCGCATAGTAAACGGGTGATCAGAAGCGGGTAAAGTTTCGCCATCGCGGAATAGCGCGGAGGGCACGGCGAAGCGTCTCAAAGAAACGGCAGGATAATTAATCTGGAATCTATTCAAGAGCCATTACCGCGCTCCGACTCCGGGACTGATTAATTAACCAGCCGCTTTGTTTATATAGTCCCGGGACTATTACCGAGTACTTCGCCAGTTAAATTACTTGCACAGTGCTCGAGTGACGTGACACGCTTGCAGTTTTCTGTCTCTCCGACTAAGACTACCTACACTATCTGGCAGCACCCCTCGCCGAAGTTCAACCTTCTCTACGTCGCCGCGGAACGCAACAATCCGAAACACAGCGATCCTTGGGCTTCTGTGTGTGGAGGTAAGAGTCACGAGTGGGATGTATCCGTGGCGCCAGACCACCACCACCACCACCACCACCACCACCACCACCACCACCACCGCCACCGTCGCCAGACGAACGGTGTCAGATGGATTCTGTGAACCGTGAAATTGTCGCGCGACAACGCGAACGATAAACCTTTAAATACGAATTAGCGGCACTCGTGCCACGCGAAATCTGGCGTCGCTCTCGTCCCGGACGTTTCCACGCACCGCGTGCTATCCAGGCGTCGTCTCTGTCCGCTATAATTAGTATCTGGTTTTCGCGGGCCAGTGCGGGTAATACGAGCATATTCAAAAAGGGGTGGCAGCAGCGTGGGGCAGCGAATGGGACACTCGTTCGATTAGCGTTACGTGCACGTGTAATTAGTTTTACCACGAAACAGGCGGCAGGCTCGTTGGAAAATTCGCCGTTCCGGATGTCCCGTTGGCTCGGTGCCCGCCACCGATTTACCGAGACCCGACCAAAGTGCACGGTAAGGCTATACAGTGGACGCGCGTCCCGGCGAATCTGTCGTTCCACGTTGTACGATGAAAATCTTTCCAAACGGTATGAATTTTTTTTTTTTTTTTACCTTAATTTCTGTGATTTTACTTTTATTACTATTATTTTTTTTATTATTTCCTTCTTCTTCTTCTTCTTCTTCTTCTTCTATTTTTTCTTTAATGTCGCATCGACAGCGAGGTAGCCATTAGATATGAGTGTAGTAGTTTATGTTTTTGAGGTATTTTAGTACTCTTTGTATGTCATTTTCAGAAGTCAGGTTTATGTTTGCGTTGATTCTGTATTTCTGTCTTTGGATTTCTGTGGTGTGGCATTTGTGCAGTACGTGGGTTATTGTTAGTGGATGGTTATTGCAATGAGTGCAAGTGGGTGGTGAAGTATTTTTGATTTTGTGTTCATGTGTCAGCTTAGTATGGCCGGTTCTTAGGCGTGAGATAATTATTCCTCCTTTCCTGTTGGTAAGGTTCGGTGTTTGCTGGTGAAAGTCTTGGATACTTTTGTATAGTTGGGTGCTTTTAGTTGTTCTCCATGTATTTCCTCTTTACTCTATTATTTTTCTTTTATCGTAATTTCTGCGAATTACTTTCGCATTGGTTTTATATTTTGCAACAATCGTGAAATTTCACGATGCTTTTTTTTACACAAAAGTTTTCTGAGATAAGTGTACAGATACTTTCGCGAAATAGTATATATTGAGTTCTTCGAAAAATTGATTTCGTGTCTTCGAAAGAGACTTACTCGTAGATTTTCAAGCTGGTTTTATATTTTATTCCTATAATCATGACATATTGGATTCATTGAAAAATTGATTACGTGTCTTGAAAAAAAAAATTACTACAAAGAACATATTAAGAATACAATGACAAATTAGTTTCAAATCTATTCTTAATTTTTATTATAAACTCGCCGGAACGTGCACTATATCCTAATCCCGACGAGACGATCGTTTGGAAAAAATTTTTTGCACAAAGAGCACTCTCCGATGATGCAAGAGAGTGAAAAGTCGGTCGGAATATTAAATATCGAATCAGGACGTTAATACTGAATTCGAGTGGTACGGCGAGAGTAACTTAATCGATGGCTGTCGATGGAGTTGAAGTTTCAAACGGTGGAGTGATCTGTAACGCAAAGAGTAGAGATTCTTCAAGCTATCGAAGTTTTTGCTCTTTTTGTTCATCTTTTTTGCGCCCTCCCCCTCCCCCTTTTTTTTTAAATGGAACGTTGTTGAATTCTTTTAAGAATCGATTGAGTACGACGAACCTCTGCAAAGTGTCATTCGAGAACGTCACTGTTCCTATGGTTACAAAAGATACTTGATCCGGTGCTCTTCTATTACGTTAATGAACGAAAAAACATGGTACTCTGTTTTTCTCATGCAAGGATTTGTATCGGGTATAGAAACAATTTCTGTACGATAAAAATGTTATCTGCTAAAATAATTAAACAATGAAACAACACGTTTCCTTTTCTCCTTTTCTTTTTTGTATATTTATTTATAATCGAACCAACATCTCAAGTTATTAGCGACTACTTGAAGATTTCTACCAATGTTGAATACGAAACTAAAAATTCTACAATCTTTAAATAATTTTAATTTTACTGCTTGTATATTTTTAATTGACTCTAGCCATTTAAATACGACAACTAAAA